CCCCCACTCTGCACTGCACTTGTTGCAGGGGTTCCACGGAAGCTCCCCCCCTGCTCCAGCTGTCGGAGGAGGATTAGATGGAAGGGTGGCGGGAGACTGGATCTAGAGGGATCGGGGTGGGGGGGGGGAGGTGAGAAAATCCTGAAAAGGGTAAAGGGTGGGTTGGGGTCACGCTGCTCTTCGCTGAGTAGATGGGGGTGTGTGTATGGGAGGGGGGGGCTGCTTTTTCTGGCCGGATGTTTCTTTTCCTTTTCGCCTCCGATTCACTTCCCTGTCACAGGGAGCCCCACGTCAGCCAGGGGGCGCCATTCCTCCCTGCTGCAGGCCGGGCCCCCGGCCGCATGGGGAGACACCATGACACGCTTCCCGCATGCAGACACCTGATATCCATACCTGAACTAGGCCTTATTCGGCAAACGCAGGGCTGAGTATATGCAGGATAGGGTATGGCCATGTCAGGCTGGCTGAGCCTTCCAGGTGCGATCGCTGTCTATCTCTGTCCCACCTGATCATTGCTGCTGATTGTGACAGGTTTCATCTCAGCCTTGATTTCTGTCTAAATTATGTCAGTGAGCTGGATGCCCCCCCTCTGAAAGGGAATAAAATCTGTTCTGATAATCACAGAGATGATCAAATCTGAAGTAACTATGAGGTGGTGATAATTCTGTAGGGATGGGGGCCTTTCGGACTGTTAGCGTGGACCAGATGCTCATTCAGAGATTACTGCGCCCCCCCAGTGTTGAAAGCGGACTGGGTGATGGGATGAACTGAACTGCTGAGGAACTGGCCCCGCGCACATAGGATGTATACAGTGTGAATATTAAGAGGCCAACCCTAAAAAATCAGCTGGCAGTGCAGGCATGGGGCGGTTCCGACAGGGGGGCATGAACCTATGTCCCTTGGATTATCACCTAGCTGCGGCTGTGTGAGCATCTCGTAGCCATAGCCCCCACTCCGGGTTAAATTCTCACATGGGCACACACCTCACTGCTCTCATGGTCTGGGGCAGGTAAGCCACATATCTCTGTCCTCACTGCCACAGACGTATGGATTGGCTCCTGGGGGAGGGGGGGGGGGTACTCAGTGATGGGGTCCTGGTCTCCTGGGCCCGCCCTATATTTTTACCCCCCTCTTGTGGCAGGCCCCACCACTTGCCCCCATTCTCTGCATGTTTGTTCACAGTCCACCTGGCCTATGAACCCCGGGTGACAAAGAGCGATGAAAGTTATTCCCTGAGACCTGGTGAGAGTTTCCGCCCCAGGGAAGTTGTGTGGGTGCAACTTGAACCCCCCCCCCCCTACTCCAACCAGCCCCCTGCAAACAAAGATAGCCCTGTCCAGGTTGCCCCCACCACTATGAACGCTGAACAAACCCCCACCCGGGCAGAAGACTGATTTGCTGCTGTAGGGACAGAAACATGTGGTCTTTGCGTCATCAGTGCGACAGTCTGTTGTATCAGCAAGATGATCTCTTGTGTTATCAGCGCGGAGCCCTCTGCCACTTCAGCACGGTGGTCTCCGTTGCCTCAGAATATCAGTCTCTGTCATAGCATCTTCGTCACGGTGGTCTCTTGTATTGTCAGTGCTGCAGTCACGGTATCTCTTGCATCAGCACGGTGGTCTCTCTCACATTGTCAGTGCAGCTGTGTCTGTCGCGGTATCCTTTGTGTACTACCACGGTCTCTGTCGCGTCAGTTTAGCACTCTGTTGTAGTGTCTCTGTCGGGTAACCATGGCGGTCTCTATTGAGGTGTCTCTGAAAACGTATGTTCTTAGAATGTAATAATTTATACTTTTTTCTCTTTAGCAAATACAACTTGCTTGTAACTACCAGAGGAGAGACTTGTGTTCCATTTCTGTGGGAAGCAAACATTTAGCTAATTAGGACCCACCCCCTCTGTTCCTGGCAGTGCCAGAAGGAGATTGGTATCCTGACACTGGCCACGCCCCCTGTCACAGATTGGAGGGATTCATGTGGGGGGCGGAGCTCCAGTGCTTTACAGGAATGTTTCCCCACTTCTGTTAATCAGTTGCTCAAGGGTATGATGTTGGCACCCACGCTCCAGACGCCCCCACACGTGATTTGCTTCCCCTGCAGAATAAAAGACAAGGTTCTTCTCAGGTAAAAAGGAATGTTAATGCTGGTGTTCACTGTTCAGCTCCGCAGGCTCTCTGACAAGTCGCACTGGTTGGGAGGGGGGTTGGTCTGCAGGCCCTGGCATGGCCCCGGAGATGGGTCACCGTCCAACGTTCTCATTACTCTCACCAAGTAGCTCCATATGCACTGTAAACCTGTGGCATTGTTTGTCATATGTGAAAGACACTGTGCTGGCCTATCCACTGCTTTACTGTCCCTGACTCTGACTCTCGCTGACTCTCTCTGTCCCCTGACTCTCTGACTGTGTGATGACCCGCACTGAGGAATGTTGGACATACGTATAAGATGATGTCTCTTTTTAAATGTCCAGCTAAACCGCACCCCCTTCTGCACTGATTAAGTGAAGAAACAAACGTCCCAGTATCCTTGGGAGTCCCCAATCCCCGCATTGTTGCTGTTCAGGCCGACAAGCTGGGGGATTAAGAGCATTTAGTGACGGGGCTGTAGGCCAGGGTTTCAGGGTAATTACACAGCCTAATTACCGCGGTAAAGCTCATCATCATAGTCCGCTGTGACCCCCCCCGCTGCCTCATCCCTGACTGGGCTTTTGTCCTGACCCAATGACCAGTAGCTCGCCAAGCCATTGTTTTGCCCGGGATGGGAGAGGTCAGAAAGCTTTTTAGGGTGAGGGCAGGGACCCCCGAGCAGGTGGGCAAAGCCCCCCCCCCCCCAAACCCCAAGGATGGCCCTCAATTAACTCCCTGTGGCTGGCTGGGTGCTGCAGGATTCAGCCTGAGACTGCAGGTGCCCCCCCTACTGAAGGCCGTTCACAGAAGAAGGAGGCCTTAAGTCTCCCTGCCGGGGCTTTATTGATCTCATGTTTGCTGGGGTTACTGGGCCAAGAGGGAAGTCTGCTGCTCCTGTAATCCAGCTTGCAGGTCAGCAGAAGCAGTAGTGCTTCAGTAGTGCTTGTGTCCTGGACTCTGATCAGATCCACATAGGCCTGCCAGCTGAGCATGTTTACCCTGGCCTCTGACACGATTCCTCGCAGTGATCTTTGTATCTTGTGTTTCTCATCTCTCTTTGTGCTGTTTTATTGCCCTGAGCTGTACTAGAATCTGAAATGCTTTGCTCGGCAACAGGATCAAGTGGACCGAGAAATTTTACGCGGTTCTCACAGATTGGTGGGGGCCCGTGCCGCTATCCCCCCCAATGTAGAAGGGTTGACTGTATGGTGTTGACGACAAAATAAGGAATAATTTGTCAGTCAAACCTGCAGTAATGGCATCGGCCAGGTAACCAGGGAAGCCAGGCATGACAATAGCAGCCACGCCCAAAAGGGTGGGGGGGGGGGGGCTTTAAAGTTACAACGCCGATCTCTCAGGATAGAGTGGGAGATGCCTTAGAGGCTTCTGTGTCTGTGTGCAGCACTTTGCAGATGGCTGCCCATAATCTCTCACACCGCCGTTCCTCTCCAGCTCAGTTTCTGTAAAAATATCCCTCCACTGGTCCTGCTCCTCTCCGCCATGCACTGATGGGACTGCTCTCTGTCCCCCCCCCAGCCTGCAAGATTGGCTACTACAGGGCCCTGTCCACGGATGGGGGCTGCTCCAAGTGCCCCCCTCACAGCTACTCCACCCGTGAGGGCTCCACCTCTTGCAGCTGCGATAAGGGCTACTTCCGCGCTGAGACCGACCCACCAGCCATGCCCTGCACACGTAAGTGCCCCCCCTCCCCCGCCTGTCCCTTCATGCCTGTGTCTGTGTGTATATGTGTGCGTAAGGTTAGGCCTGGGGAGGGGTTAAGTTTGGGATTGTGGCTTTGCCCATAGAAATGAATGGATGCTCCCTGTAAAAAAAGAGTACAGGTGTGTGTGTGTGTGTGTGTGTGTGTACGCCTGTGTGTGTGTGTGTGTGTGTGTGTGTGTACGCCTGTGTGTGTGTGTGTGTGTGTGTGTGTGTGTGTGTGTGTGTGTGTGTGTGTGTGTGCTCTATCCTCCCGCACATTAACCTCGGCCCAAGGTCTAATTTCTAATTCCAGGTGGCACTTAGCCATCACTCTCTGCGACAGCTTTACTAATGAAGGAATAAAACGCTGTATCAATGATTCATTCCTCCAGCCTGACAGGACATGTGTGTGTGTGTGTGTGTGTGTGTGTGTGTGAAGGGGGGGGGGGAGTGCAGGAGAGAGACGCTTTGCTTCACCGGCCTGAAATTCAGCTTTTGATGTCAAGGCATTTTAACCCACTATTAGTTCATTGCAGAGCTGATCCCTGACCGGAAACTGCTGTTGAGGGACTGACGTCTCTTTAGTGTCCTGATCGTGGCCCTTTGGGGGTCAGGGGCAGCCAATGCAGAGCCCGCAGATAATTGGTCCTGCGAGATCATGGCCTCTTGACTGTTTTTACTGAGAATCTTTACAATAGATAACAGATGAAATCCAGAAGGCTTCCCCAGTCTCAGGGATCTGTTTTTGTCTTCCCCTTTCATACTGATGCTGTGAGCTGTGTGGTGCCCCCGCCCCCCAGCTGAGACCGTGTCACTCTTCGACCTGTGCCCCCCCACCGAGGTGTCAAAGCCCCCAACGCCTCGCCGCTTCCGCCTGGGCCCGCTCTCAGCTAATCGCGCCCCTCACCCTGCTGAGCTGTGCCATTCTCTCAGTCTTCTGTTCCTTCCTAATTCTCTAGCACACAATGGGGGAAGGGGGGAACAAGTTTAATTAGGACTCTCTACCCCCCCTCCCCCTCCCCACTCTGGGCAGAAATGAGAAGTGGATCTGGAATAATCCAGTGTTCAGTGTGGAGATCTCTGGCTCTCCAGGCCTGGAATTGAAATCCGAATGGACCGGTGCTCTCCAGGCCGTTCAGTAGTCATTGCCCTTCCCCGTCTCTCTCTTTCTCTCTGTTTCCTTCCCTCTCCTTCTCCCCTTCTCCCTCCATCTCTTTCCCTCACTCTCACCCTCTGTCCTTCTCTCTGTGCCCCTCTCCCTCTTTCTTCCTCCCCCTCTCTCTATCCCTCTTTTTGTACCCCCCCCCCCCAAATTAGTGCAGCATGCTTCTTAGGTTGCAGGTTTGCTTAAGGGCAGGAGCTCTCTGCGGTCTGGAGGCCTCGCGGTGGGGGTAGGGTGCGGTGGGCTGCAGGGAGCTGCAGGCACATTCTAGGAGTAACACGTGTATGGAATTGCGCTGTGGAGCTGATGGGCACTGATTGGTCCATTCCCGGCGGGCGCGTCCCCCCATCTTTTTGAGCTTCCCAGAATCCTTTGCAAAACACCTCTGCGGTTCATGGGACGGATGAGACGCCTTATGGTGGTACCTCCAGGTACTGTGCTGTGCAGGAGCCACAAAATGAGGGCAGGGATAGGGGAAAGGGAGCGCGAGCGTCACCCCTGCGCTGGAGAGTGGCCCGACAGACGCCCTGCGGAAACGCACGGCTGACCTCCAGCCAACTGAGGTCCCTCCCAGACCCCGTTCGTTAGCAATGACAGTGAAAGAAGCTTTGTTCAATATTAAATATTAAAAGCCATTATCTGGGGCTTTCAGGCATGAGTTTGAAAGCAAAAAAAGGTTTAGAAAAGAACATTACAGTGGCAGTGTCTTGCAGGGCCTTAATTTAGAAAGTCTATCCATGAGAGAGGGGCAGGCAGCGTGGGAGGTGCGGCGGATCAGCCCGCAGTGAGGCGGCTTCATCACGCTGCCTAATGAGACCTGATAATGGGCCTTTCAGGAGAGCGTGAATGGAGGTGCTACCCCCCTGCACACCCCCCATCCTGCACCTCTTCCCCGATCCCCCCCGTCCAGTACCTCCTCCCCGCTCCCCCCATCCTGTACCTCCTCCCCGCTCCCCCCATCCTGTACCTCCTCCCCGCTCCCCCCGTCCTGTACCTCCTCCCCGCTCCCCCCATCCTGTACCTCCTCCCCGCTCCCCCCGTCCTGTACCTCCTCCCCACTCCCCCATCCTGCACCTCCTCTCCACTCCACCAGTAATGTTCCTTATTTTCCCCGCTCCCGTCCTCCCCTAGGTCCACCCTCGTCCCCCCAACACCTGATCTCCAACGTCAACGAGACGTCCGTGAACCTGGAATGGAGCCCTCCGGTCTCGACGGGTGGCAGGCAGGACCTGACCTACAACGTAGTGTGCAAGCGGTGTGGGGGGGCGGGCCGCCGCTGCCAGCCGTGTGGGGCCGGCGTGCACTATGCCCCCCAGCAGCTGAGCCTGCGTGCTACGCGCGTCTCCATCACCGACTTGCAGGCCCACACCAACTACACCTTTGAGATCTGGGCTGTGAACGGCGTGTCCAAGCAGAGCCCGGGGCCTGAGCAGGCCGTATCCGTCACCGTCACCACCAACCAGGCCGGTGAGTGCACCTCTGCTGTGGGCGTCAGCGACATTAATGGGTGTGTGTCCACCTGATTGACTTCCCCGTTGCAGTTTGCTGAGCTGAATAGCAGTTGGATGGACTAAAGTGGCCCTCACTGATCCTCGCTCTGCTCCGATCCACTTTGTGTGCCAGTGCGTTTTGTTGCTGTTACCTTTCCCGCATCATCACCCTGCCTTTATCGCTCCACCTCTGAACTTCCTGGACTTGGAGCCGCAGTGAAGCGTTAACCTTGCGGCACGTTAATGTGCCTGGAGCCGTGATTGCAGTGGGGGGCGGGGCAAGGGGCGGAGGAGGCGGGGTTAGCGGGACTGTTTCCGCTGCAGTCATAAACACATGGTTTTCCTAACTGGGGCTGTAAACCCCACAGGATGGGGGGGGGAGGTGGTCACTGACCGCCATGGTGGCCCGAGAGCCTGCGGGCCCCCCACGACCTCATACCCATAGTCTTGTCTGACCCTGTGTTTGTGCACAGAGGAACTGAGAGGTGTGGGGGGTGAGCCTGGGGCCAAAAACAAAAGCAGCCCTAAATCTCTCAGACGGGATTTGTGCAGGCCTTGCCCTGGCCCCGCCCCCTAGCCCCACCTTCCATCCTCATTCTACCCAGCTGGCCCCACCCCCTAGCCCCACCTTCCATCCTCATTCTACCCAGCTGGCCCCGCCCCCTAGCCCCACCTTCCATCCTCATTCTGCCCAGCTGGCCACGCCCCCTAGCCCCACCTTCCATCCTCATTCTGCCCAGCTGGCCACGCCCCCTAGCCCCACCTTCCATCCTCATTCTGCCCAGCTGGCCCCGCCCCTTAGCCCCACCTTCCACCCTCATTCTGCCCTGCTGGCCCCGCCCCCTAGCCCCACCTTCCACCCTCATTCTACCCAGCTGGCCCCGCCCCCTAGCCTCGCTTTCCTGTCCTTGGTCTATCCCTCCTGGCCCCACCCACCTGGCCCACGATCCTCCCCAGCTCCTCATCCATGTTCTCTAGCTGTTTTGTTTCTATTTCACAAGGCCTGCATGTTGCGGGCAGATGACACACGTGTCCCACACGCCGGCTCCTGGGCTGCAATCCATGTGGGGAGCGTGTTCATGGCTGCAATGAGGCCAGCACAGCCTCTTTCCTCCTGTGGCCCATTTATACCTGGGCCCCCCTCTTTTCTCTCCCACTGATGACATGCGCGTCATCCTGCCTGAGGTTTTTCGCCTCCTTCCCCTTGCGGGGGCCTTGGCCAGGCTCCAGGTGTACATGTATGTGTGCTGGCTGGGTGGTCAGTCCAGCACGGTTTGGCTTTGGCTTGTGGATTGGGCTTGGGGGGGGGGTCCATGAATCAGTCAGGAGACACCAGTTCCCCTATACATGCTGCTGCTCTCACTGTAACTGGGTGGGGGGCCATTCTGACCCATGTGGGCTGTAACTGTTTATGTCTCAGTGTCGCCCCCCCCAGCCACATTCTTTCACTGGTCAGTGTGGATGCCACTACAAATCATGTGGCCCGCGCCGGCCCATACCCCGCATCCTGGAGCCTCTCCTCTGCCTCAGACCCCACACCCCCTGGCAGCCAGGATTCTGATTGGCTGACATCGCTCTACCTCGGCCAATGGCCTCGGGTGCCTCGTTTCTGTGCTCCTGGCTCACATAGTCGGTATGGTAACTCATGCTTCCTCATGATCGCTCCCCATGCTCTGTGATCCTGCAGCAGCATGGAAGTGGGGTGGGAGGGGTGTATAGGGGCTGGGGGGGCATGGGTGCATGTTTGTGTGTGTGTCAGTGTGTGCGTGCACACTTTGTGGGGGGGAGGGGGTTAGGGTTAGCTCTGCTTACAGGCAGGATGTCACCCACTTATGTCCAGCTGTGATGTAATAATGCTGACATTTGGATGGTGTTTGTGTGTCTGTGTGCATCCAAACGCCACAATACCTCAAGAAAGAGGGGGAGAGAGAGAGAGGGAGAGAGAGAGAGAGAGAGAGAGCGCCCCGATTCAGTCAGTCTTCCACTATCCTTGGGCTCTCTTGCAAAAACATAGTGACCAAGAAAGCGGAAACAGGAGAGAAGGTGGGGGGTGCTGGCTCATTCTTGGAACGTGCCCCCCCGTTCCCCTGTGAGTTATGGGCGCTGTCACTCCGGCCTTTGGGGAGTGTGTGGACCCCGCCCCGGCCTGATCGCCCCTTGCCATGGAACCTTCACCCGCGATTTTATGAACGCTAAACGTTCAGGGGGCCAGCGGCATGTAATGATTAAGCGGCTCATTTTTACTCCTCGTGCTGATTCTAACAAGCCCCCCACCCCCCCCCCCCCGAAACACCAGCTTCCACACCTGAGTCTGCTCTTCACATCCCCCTGGCCTATAGGAGTTGGGGGGTGGGCGTATATGCACATGGCTCATAATTCTCTCCAGCGGTTTGTCTGGGCCCATAAACGACGCAGCACAGTGTACCTTTGTCTGAAGGACCAGCTCCCACATTTGTGGGGATGGGGGGGGGAGGTGTGATTGCAGTGTGTCCCACAATCTGAGTCATTGTGGGGACCAGATGATGTGGGGACCATTTTCATGCAAATCAAATATGCCAAAAGTTTCATATTTTGTTTGGTTTCCGATGGTTAAGGTTAGGGCTGCGGATTGAGGCCGTCATGTTGGGATTAGGGTTTTGGCCATAGAAATGAATGGAGAGTCCTCACAAAGATATGAATGCAAACACGTGTGTGTGTGTGTGTCTGTCTTTCTAAAATGTCTTTGGTTTCCGAATCCTATTCCAACTCAGTCACACTGCTTTTGCTGTTATAAATGATTAAAAATGGAGTACCCTGTAGTAAATCAGCGTGGGCTTCAGTCATTAATCTGAAATCACTCGGAAAATCGGCTGCACCCTGCGCGTCTTCGACGTGGCGTGCCGCTTCCCGCAGAGATTAGAGATGGCATCCGGAGCCGTCCCAGTCTGCACCGCGTGCCCCAGAGTAAAGGAACTCGCCCGGAATCCGTCATACTTAACCCCCCCCGTCATTTAGAAGCGAAATCCAGTGGCACAACACAATTAAACTGCAATATCTGCCACATTATGAAAAATGATGAATGTGAGGAGTGTGTGAACGGGGAGACGGGGGGGGGGAGGAAGCCGACGCCCCCCCCCAGCCCCGCATTGCCGCTGGCCCCCCCGGAGACCCGCAAATCGGTTTTGTTACCAGACACGTTAGAGCAAGATTGATCTGGGAAACACAAATGGCAAGCCCTAATTGTTTGACACAGACGCTGCGTATTACACTGTGGAATCACAAGGGTGAGCAAATCTACTTAGTCGGCCAGGGGACAGCCTGCCCTTGCAGAATGATCAATGGGGGCCCTCTTTTGAGTCCAGGGTTGAACTCTATCCCTCCTTAAAAGCCCCCGGTTTGATAGCACTGTTCCTGGAGCTCCTGGTCAAAAAGGCTCATAATGTAATCAGGGCAGAATCGCAGACGTGCATCAGCAACGGCGTCCTCAGAGGCCTGAGCGGAGCGTGGGTGCAAAGCCCGACACCAAACGCCTTCACATCACGGCATAAACATCCCTCACCTTTCCTGACTAGGTAGAAAGTTTGCCGGGTGAATTTGTCAATGTCCTGCCAGCTGGGACTGGAAGCCGTGTGTTGTGCTGTAAATGTTGATCCTGCATTTAATGTAATTAACAAATCAATAAAATTAACAAAGGAACCATCCAAATATTGCTTTGGGGAAATATTATCCTCACACCCAATGAATAAATAACTAAATGAATATTTAAGTAATTAATTTGTTAACTCTAGAGTAAAAACAATCTTTTCAATTAAAAACCATGTCAACATCTTTCTTTGTAGAGTTGTCCTGAGGAGTTTAATCTGTGTCTCTGGCAGCTTGGGTGGTTTTTCTTTTTGGGGGTGGGGGGCGAGGGGGCAGGACTGAAGAGACCCTATGAGCAGATCAGCATAGGGAAGCAGGGAATTGTGGGATGTGAGGTAAACACAAACAGGCTCATGGAATTCTGGGTAGGGAGGCAGCCTCTGCGTGTTGGAGTCTGCTTGTTATCTGAGCCTGCAGCCTCTGTCAGTTTGGCCAGCAGGAGAGCAGCCTGATTAACCCCTCGCCTCTCCTCCTGACCGTGGAGCAACACGAAAAGACAAAGGTGCTTTAAGTTTGGCTGCGTCTGAGGAGGGAGAGCTGGCTGGGGGCCTCAGCGGTTCACAAGGAGCTAAGCAAAGTCGGCCCTCCTCCTCCACTTACTCCTCCTCTTGTTTATCTTCCAGCTCCCTCCCCAGTGGCCTCCATCCAGGCCAAAGATATCACGAGGCACACGGTGTCCCTGGCCTGGCAGGAGCCGGAAAGGCCCAACGGAGTCATCCTGGAGTACGAGGTCAAATACTACGAGAAGGTGAGGTGGATTCTGGGAAAAGCCGTCAGGCACGACCAAACGATCTGCCCTTTTCCTGCGAGTGGGAGCTGCGGCTCAGGCGTAGAGAGAGCGGTCTCGCCACGAGGAGGGTGGGGGGGGCTTTGGGGAGACCACCTCCTCTTCTCCTCTGTTCTCCAGCGCTCTCCTGTAATTATAGAGCTCCCATGTCAAACACTCCTGAGGGCCGCTAATAGCTTTGAGAAGCAGGATGTGGTGCTGGGTGGGGGGGGGTGTAGGCATGCCTCTGACCCCTCCCCTTCCCACCAGGACCAGAATGAGAGGAGCTACCGCATCATCAAGACGGCGTCCCGCAGCGCCGACATCAAGGGCCTGAACCCGTTGACCTCCTACGTGTTCCACGTGCGGGCACGGACTGCCGCCGGGTATGGTGACTTCAGCGCCCCCTTCGAGTTCATGACCAACTCCGGTGAGTGCTGCCCTGGGGGGGCGGGGGCCCCCTGAGTGTGCGATGCTGAGGAAGGGTCAGGGTGCGTCCTGCAGGGGCTCGGGGTGACTCTGTGCTCCTGTATGCTCTCCCAGTTCCGTCTCCAGTCATCGGCGATGGTGCCAACCCCACGGTGCTGCTGGTGTCGGTGGTCGGCAGTGTGGTCCTGCTCGTCATCCTCATCAGCGCCTTCATCATCAGCAGGAGGTGTGAGCCTCAACCCCCCAGCTCCCCTCCCATCTCCGACCTCTCTGCCAATTTATCTCTATCTTCTTTCCTTTCTTCGCTCATACCTCCTGTCTCTTTCCTTCCTCTTCTCCCTCGTTTTCTCCCCTCTTCCCTTTCTTCCCTCTCTCTCTCCCTCCCTTCTCTCCACCTTCTCCTTTCCTCCCTCCTGCTCTCCTTTTCTCTCACTCCCCCTCCCTCTCACTCCCTGCCACTCCCTCCCTCTCTCCCTCATCTCTTCCTCCCCTCCCACTGGGGCAGACAGTCTCCCTGCCTTGTTGAAGACGCTTTTGACAGACGGCTCACGCTCCACGCTGATTAAACGTCTGCTGCGTCGGCTGCCGCGCTCCTGCTCCTCGGGGCTCCTTCGCCCCCTGGGAGGCGGGCTGATTAACACGGCCGCACTCCCGTCTATGCGCCAGGGTGGGCTCAGCGGTTATGGAGCGTTAGCGGGAGAGGGTCTCTGTGGTGTCAGGGGGAATCACAGCGCAGGAAGATTCTTCCGAAACTAGTTCGAAGAGCAGGAAGCAGGAATTGGGGCCCCTCACCCCCATGAGCTTATCTCAGAGACCCCCCTCGCTGACCATGGCTGACATGCCAGGATTGGGTGCGCCCAGGGCCCCCCCCCCCCCTCGTTCAGCCCCTCCCCCTATACCTCCCACCTGTCTGTAATTAGCCCCAATGCCACCAGGATAACACTGGCCCTCAGCCCCGGGGCCAGTCGCTATGGAAGTGCCCCCATGGCATGCGACAGCCCGCAGTGAGGGCCTGTCCCAGAATCCCCTTCTGCACCTAAAGGCACCCGCAGACCGCCAGGTGACGGGGACGTGATCGAGGGGCAGCAAGCCGTGTGGAGGCCCCATTTGGCAGGACCCTCCTGCAAATGCTTGCGTTCACCTGAAGTTGGTCGAATTAATTAGTTAAACCTGTTTAAGGTTACCAGCGCAAGGCAGAATTACTGCTCCGCCCTTCATGTGTGTGGTTTCTGCGGCCGACTCCCAACCCTCACTGTCCTCTTGGTGTTTGCAACACAGGAGAAGCAAGTACAGCAAAGCCAAGCAGGACGCGGACGAGGAGAAGCAGCTCCACCAAGGTACGCCATCGCCAGCGGGTCGGAGGAGGGGGGGGTTACTCACCACACTCGCCACGCTCACTGCCCCCCTCTTACGGTGCAGGTGTGAGGATATACGTGGACCCCTTCACGTACGAGGACCCCAACCAAGCCGTCCGTGAATTTGCCAAGGAGATTGACGCATCTTGCATCAAGATCGAAAAAGTCATCGGAATCGGTGGGTTGCTGGCGTGTCATTTCCTGTTTTGTCTTTGGTAACTGGTGCGTGTTCCCCGTGTTTTGGCTGGAGGGTCGGATAATGCAAAAAGCAAATGAATGCAGCAGGGAAATGCCAGCGGTGACCTCAGTGTCGGACATGGTGGGCGAGGCTTGAGGGTGACTTGGGGGGGGGCGGGGGGGGGGGGGGGGGGGGGGTGGAGAGAACCGCTGCTAAACTCCCCGCTCTGCTCCTCTGTCCTGCCGCTAGGCGAGTTTGGCGAGGTCTGCAGCGGCCGCCTTAAGATGCCAGGGAAGCGGGAGATCTGCGTGGCCATCAAGACGCTGAAGGCGGGCTACACCGACAAGCAGAGGCGGGACTTCCTGAGCGAGGCCAGCATCATGGGCCAGTTTGAGCACCCCAACATCATCCACCTGGAGGGCGTGGTCACAAAGTGTGAGTCGGAGTCGCCGACTGCAGCCACTGCACCTTTGGGGCAGAACCGCGTCTGTCGGGAAAGTCAAAACACCGCAGCGGCGATTTAGATCTGTAGAAAACATCAGCCTATTCAAGCAGAGGCCACATCAAGGTGGCGTCTTCTGTTAAACAATCTCCCCCCCCCACTTCTTTGACCTAAGATGTAAAGTTTAACCCCCCAGCATGGAGCGTGGGGGTGTCCCTCCCGGGAAAACGACAGATGGGCGCAGGTCTCTCCCTCTGCTAATGTGTCATGAGAAATGGTTGCGCTGTGATGGGGTCATTAATCACGGTGTCTGGCCTGAGTGCGGCTGGCTCTGCGCTGACACTCGATCCGGGGGCAGCTCGCAGTCTGTCCTTCCCATCCACGGTGCGATGACCTCACGTCTTCAGGGCCCCGAAATGCGGTGCGGAGAGTCGGCTGTCACCGAGCCGCGTTTCCGCGCTGTAGGGATACCCTATTTCCGGCTTAATTGTGTGTCCGTGGTTTTGCTGTTAATCGAACCTATACCTCCGGGGGCTGTGACCTGCAACCCTCCCTGATTCATTTCTCAGTTTTCTCGCCATGGGGAAGTGTGGGGGGGGGGGTTGGACTCCCACAGGGTGCTACTGACAGACACGGCTCTTATCGGCCCCCCTCCTGCGGAGATAAGCGCGCTGTCGCTCAGCCACCCTCCCTGGGGCTGAGCAAGAGAACCCCCCCCCCCCTTATCAGCAATCACGCTTCTCAGCAGGAACAGGTAAGGGGTGGAAGGCAGCGGAGGGCGGGGGAAGAGTGAGGGGGCACAGTGTGGGCTGCCGGGGGGGGGTCTTAACTGTCTTTAACATTATTTTCCTTATTTTCTGCCTGATTGTGTGGCTGGAACTTCTTACATTAATTGGAAATATCCTCAGTGTTTGTATTGGGGGGGCTCGTTACCCCCACCTTTTAATTGTTTACGATGTTTAGATGTTTAGTTAATAAACGGGCAGCAGCCCAAGCAGGACCAGGCAGGACCGTGAGACTGCTGGGGCCTGTCACTCCCGGGGGGGGTACCGGGGCTGCTACCTGAATTTGATCCGCTGGGTTTCCGAGGCGCTTTTTGTGGACACAGGAAAAGTTCAGGTTCCCCGGATGGCATGACTGGAAATCCGGTTAATCAGTCAGCGGTTGTTCTGCAGTCTGACGATCTTGTTTCATTTGTGCCAGTCAAACATACGTGATGCCGTTACCCTTTGCAAATGTCTGAATCCAACAAAGATAACTGAATAATTCTGTTTTACCAGCATTTCCAAAAGTTGGTGTGGTGGGAACCTATAGCCTTTCCGTGATGTTCTGCAACGTTCTGTGACATTCTGTGATGCTCTGTGCTGTGTCCTCGTTCACTTTTGGGAATAAAACGCCTTTTGGGATTGAGATCTGGTTCAGCAGGTCATTGGTGCCGGTTGTGGGAATCCCACAGCAGAGTGACACCCCCCCCCCCCCCCAGCCACGGGACACCTATGATGGGTTAACTGCAGATGGAGCCGCGTTCCGTCCCGGAACTGACACAGTTGATGTAATCAGGGCCATGATGGCAGCCAGTCTTTTTCGGTGGCCCAGTGGTTTGCCAAATAATCACGGTTCTCCCCCCTCCCTGCAGGTAAACCAGTGATGATCATCACGGAATACATGGAGAACGGATCACTGGATGCCTTCCTGAGGGTACGTCACAGTTAGGGTCGAGACGAGAGAGAGGATGTGTCCGGGGATCAGAATATTAATAAGTTTACATGTTCACTGGCCAATCAGGTAGTGCTTCCCTCATGAATACTAATGAGGTAACCACCATGTAAAGCGAAAATGCGTGTGCGGAGAAACCTGGACTCTAGTCACGGTTAATGGTGGCACCGCTTACCTGCGCCGGGCCTGACGCCTCTTCCCTCCCTCACAGAAGAACGACGGGCGCTTCACGGTGATCCAGCTGGTGGGGGTCCTACGTGGCATCGCCTCGGGCATGAAGTACCTGTCCGACATGAGCTACGTGCACCGGGACCTGGCCGCCAGGAACATCCTGGTGAACAGCAACCTGGTGTGCAAGGTGTCCGACTTTGGCATGTCCCGTGTGCTGGAGGACGACCCCGACGCCGCTTACACCACACGGGTACGCTGGGCGTCGTGGCCGAGCCGCACAGCTTAAAATGCTGACTGATCTTCATGTTACACGGAAAATGTCTGAAAGGACAAGGATCAGATATATTCCAACTAATGATACTTATGCAAACAACACATATCAGATTCACGTTAATAATACTACTTTCGTACTTAGTGTAGATTAGCTGTAGCTCTCGGGTGGGGTGTGTATGCGGTCTTCGTGTCTCTGGGAGTGTTTGAGTGTCTGTTTTTGTAATTATTACATTGTAGGTACCAGATTTCCCTGCAATGTGTTAAAAACCTGTAATTTTTTGCCTTGCGGGGAGAGTTTTTCTGACCTCACTTTTATAAAAATCTGTGACTGCAATCAAAAAACTAAAAACGTCAAAGGTTTTGTACTTTGGTTACTTATGGTTAAGGGTAGCGCTGGGTAGGGCTAAAGGCTAATTGTAGAGATTAGGGTTTTGTCCATAGAAATGAATGGAGTGTCCCCTTAAAGATATGAATATGTGGACTGTGTGTGTGTGTGTGTGTGCACACGCGCGCCTATGTCTGCATGAGTATGAACACAGTGTCCCTTAAATCTCTGGCGGTTGTCATGCAGGGGGGGAAGATCCCCATCCGCTGGACGGCACCGGAGGCCATCGCCTACAGGAAGTTCACATCGGCCTCGGACGTCTGGAGCTACGGCATCGTCATGTGGGAGGTGATGTCATACGGCGAGCGGCCATACTGGGACATGAGCAACCAGGATGTGAGTCCCTGTGTTTAACGCATCAGAATCGTAAGCAGCTCACTGCGGCTGCCGGCGTCATAACAGGCGCCTACCACAGACTCGTGCCTCACCCTGACCCCGCCCCCTCACCCTGACCCCGCCCCCTCACCCAGGTCATCAAGGCAATCGAGGAGGGCTACCGACTGCCCCCGCCCATGGACTGCCCCGTAGCGCTGCATCAGCTCATGCTTGACTGCTGGCAGAAGGAGCGCAGCGACCGGCCCAAATTCAGCCAGATCGTCAACATGCTGGACAAGCTGATCCGCAACCCCAACAGCCTGAAGAGGACGGGGGCCGAGACGGGCAGGTGAGCGCCCCCTGGGGGCAGTCGGCAGAGTGGGGATATTACCCACACGTCGCATCATATGATATTAGTTGTTAATCAGGACTGTGCGTGACAATCAGTCGCAATCCCTCCTCAGATTCCGTGACCAATGACTTGATTTTGGGGGGGGGGGGCTGACCTTGTTACTTTGATGGCGGGACTTTCTTGTCCCAGCCTTGCAGGCCGTTTGTGATTATTATTGTCAGACAGGCTGTGAAGCTCATCTGTCCCTGT